CCCAACATCGCACGTGGGACGCATGGTGTGCATGTCTGCGTGCCCGATTTGAGCCAATTGCGGCTTTGATCGCGGCGCGTCAGAAGCTCCGCACTTGGCGCCAGCTCAGTTCTGTCCAAGACTACACCAGCGGGTTTCTGGCGTTGTGTGAGCAGGTGGGCTACAAGCAAGAAAGCGAGCGCATTGACCGCTACATCGGCGGCCTGAAGCACGAAATCGCTCAAGAAATCCAGCTCCGCTGCGTCACCGATTTTCAGGAGATTCTTGCTATGGCGGAGAAGCTCGACTTTTTCCGCTGACCAAGACCAGGGTCCTATGCAAATAGCAGCAGCTGGGGACATCAGTCTCGTGGGACGAACAAAGGCGCTACGATATGAGCCGTCGCCGCGAATGCCGCTGGCGCACCGTTTAAAGGGCGTTGCTTCGCATGTAATCGGCCGGGACACCGCAAAAGGGAATGCCCGGAAAAAGCTAAGGGAAGGGGGGAAGCTGAGCAGCAAAAACAGGCCAAGCAACAGGGAAACGCTATGAGTCAATAGCAGACAGGCCCTCTACTGACAGGTCACGCCGCTCGCCCGACCCAACCGACCCTCACCGAGTGATTGTGCCGGTTCACGCAATCGACCACACCCGGCCGAATAAGGAGGGTACTGTGTAGACAGCCCCATACTGCTTAGTGGGAAAATCGGGCCAGACTTAGTTAAGATATTCGTAGATAGGGGAGCCAGCCACAGCCTCATCAACACTGCTACAGCACGGAAACTGAAACTGCCAGTGGACAGGTGTTTACCTGAGATTGACACAAGACTGGTCGACGCCACGCCACTGGAGATACGGGAACGCGCGAACCGAGCTCGGATTCGATGCGGGGGTAACTTCGCGTTTACCCCGGAAATGCTCGCGACAACTCTCGACGAAGCCGACATTTTACTCGGCCGTGATTGGCTGCGACGAACAACCCGCGAATCGACTGGACGACGGGTGACTGCACCGTGCAGGTGAACGGTAACAACATCGCCTTACCTTGCTAGGGCTCGCCTGAGTCTTCATCAGTACGTGTCAACGCGATCACGATGAAACACGCCGTAGCGGCAGGAGCTGACGTGTATGCGGTTGACATCCGGGAAGCCGAGGCAGCAGACAAGGGGAGTGATTTACATAAACTGCTAGCCGACGTACCGGATGACTTGGCAGCGCTACTGAAGCAGTACAGTGGGATTTTCCCGGATGACCTACTGACAGGACTGCCACCTCAGCGACTGCACGACCACAGGATAGAGTTAGAACCGGGGGCACAGCCGACAGTACAGCGACAGTTCCGACTGACCCAACCCGAACTTGACGAGCTACGGATACAGCTGGATTACCTGCTCGAGAAGGAGTTCATTCGCCCGAGTTCGTCACCCTTTGCAGCATCGATACTGTTCGCACCAAAAAAAGACGGGGGATTTCGCATGTGCATCGACTATCGCGCACTGAACCGAGTTAACATCAAATCCCATTACCCCATCATGGGAGCGGATGAACTGATTGACCAACTGCGCACAGCCCGGGTTTTTTCGAAAATCAACCTTCGATGAGGTTACCACCAAATCCGCGTCAACCCACCTGACTGCCTGAAAGCAACTTTCCGAACACGCTACGGATCCTTCGAATACACTGTCATGTCATTCGGACTGACCAACGCCCCCCTCATATTTCAAATGACCATGAACAAAGCCTTCCGCTCGCTTTTAGATAAGTGCGGCATCGTGTACATAGACGACATACTGATTTTTTAAATCCTGAGTGGGAACATTATTTCAGCCGACGGAGTGGAAATAGACCTGAAGAAGATCGTGACGATTTAAGCATGGAACGCGCCGACAAATTTGACTGAGCTGCAGAGTTTTTTGGGGTTCGTCAACTACGTGCGCCAGTTCGTCCCCGACATGGCGAAGTTGACTGCTCCGTTGACCGACCTGCTAAGGAAGGGGGTGGAGTACACGTGGGGGGAGAAAGAGCAAGCTGCCTTCTCGGCCCTCAAGAAAATTTTGTGCTCACCACCCGTGCTTCACATCGCAGATCCGCACCGTCCGTTCGAGCTCGTTACCGACGCAAGTGACATCGCCGTATGAGCGGTACTGTTGCAGGACTTCGGGAACGGCCTTCAGCCAATCGCGTATGAGTCCCGTAAGCTTCACCCGCCCGAACGCAACTACTCGATACACGACTGCAAAATGTTGGCGATCCTGCACGCGTTCAAAGTGTGGCGATGCGACCTCACCGGAGCAGACGTGACAGTACAGACAGATCACCGATCACTATAGTACCTCCGCGCCCAACCGAACCTCAATCCGCGTCAGATCCGCTGGTTGGACTACATGGAGTCCAACTTCCACAACACCGTCACGTACAAAAAAGGCGCATCAAGTATCGCCGACGCACTCACCCACCCTACCGCCCAACTCTACGCCATCCTACTCGCCCAGACTAACCCGATGTTGACAGGCCTATTCATCCACGGATATCGCACCAACCCATTCTTCGCGACCGGAAATTCACAGCAACTGGCAGAAGCCAAGGGAGTCTATTACGTAAAGATAGGCACCAACCGCATTTGGGTACTCGCGTATCCACTATTGAGGGAACAGTTACTACAGGAGGCATACCACGGGGTTACCTCGGGTCACTTCGGGGTAGAAAAAAACGCGACAGCAACTGCAGCGGTACTACTATGGGCCGGAGCTGTTGACGGACGTACAGCACCACGTGGGCTTGTGTCCTACGTGTCAGGTGATGAAGAGCTCGCGAAAAAGATAGGCGGATCAGTTCAGCCGATTTCACCGCCCGAGCGCGCCTGGCAGCAGGTTACCATGGATTTCGTCACGGGGTTACCTTCGAACCCTGGGGGTGACGACGCGGTTATGGTCGTCGTTGACAGACTGACGAAAATGCCCACTTCGAGGCGTGCAGGAAATCAATCTCAGCCGAAGAATCCGCTCGCCTGTTCATCGCAACCGTCGTTCGACTGCACGGGATACCAGCCGCGATAATCAGTGACCGCGACACGAAGTTTACCAGCAAATTCTGGAAGAACCTTTGGGAGCAGTTCGGGACCAGGCTACAGTTCAGCTCGTCGTACCACCCCGAGACCGACGGTCAAACGGAGCGGACGAATCAAACCATGGAGCAGCTGATCCGTGCCACGTGCGACGACCCGATAACATGGGAGCAGCAGTTGCCGCTGATCGAGTTCGCGTACAACAACATCACGTCAGCGACGACGCAGTAGTCCCCGTTCTACCTGAACTATGGGCAAAATCCAATAGTGCTCATGACGCCAAGTCAGGACAACCCAACGCCACGCGCACAGCAATTCGTCGAGATTCTGCAGGCTGCCCGCACCAGAGCCGCAGAAGCAATTAAAAATCCAACGTCATCGCAAAAAGAAGCATTGACCGCCACCGTCGTCCAGTCACGTACCAGTTAGGGGATTACGTAGTGCTCGACACACAGAACTTAAGACTGCCCGTCGTACCAATAGTACGACCGCGTTACTGCGGACCATTCCAAATCAGCCACATGATCACCCCAGTTACAGCCCATTTACTGTTGCCGATAGACTAGTACATCAGCCTATCGTTCCACGTCAGCCTGATTCGCACGTACATCCCAACCACGAGCCAACTACCTCGTCACCGCCCGCCATCCATGACTCGCCCTGCATCGGAGCCGATCATTGAGCCCGAGAAAATCCTGAGCCATCGGATTCGACACCCAACGGGCATCAAGATGATTGAGTTCCTCGTTCGCTGGAAGGAGCACATGCCAACTGAGGATAGCTGGGTGCCCCTGGCCAACATAAAAAACCACCCTGCCCTGCAAGTGTACCTGAGGAGCCGGGGTTTCCGCGATATACATGCACTCGCGTAGCGGAGGGGGCTTCTTGAGGGAGGGGGTAGTGTAAGGAATTTTCTCGACATTCCTTACCGCGACCATCAACAGCGCATACAGCAGCAGCCGTTGTTCGCCCGTTACTGCTAACGGGGCTTCGCCAACTTCGCGTGCACTGTTTCACCAAACCTCGTACTGCTGGCCCAACCGATTCGGCCTACGCTTCGGGACTAGCCCGAACCTCGCTGCCAGCGTAGCACGAGCTAGCTCGCACGCACCGCGTTACCGTTTTCATGTTTCGCGTATAAGTATTCGCTCATGCCTTCGCTCATACTTTGTACTCGTTTGACACCTTAGTGCAATTCTCGCCACTTCGTTCCATTGCACCCGTAACAAAATGTATGTATTATTGTGTGTTAGGTTAAGCTATAGCTTGGCTCAGAGCAGTTACTGCACGAACTGCTGGAGTTCGCTGGATGTTACAGATTAACTCTCAAAAACCGCCACGGATGGCACAGCACCCTTTCGAACTGCGGCCGTTGCACAGTGAGAAGGTCTGGCAGGCCTTTTGTCCACAGTTTGCGCCAGCCAGTCGCAGTTGCGATGCGAACATTTTGCGAGCCGCGAAGTGACCACTCGCACTGTCAGCAGGGCCTCAGGTAACCCAGCCAGCCCATGCCGTGGCGCGCTGGAGGAGAAAGCGGCGTGGCTCCACAGCCGTCGGATCCCAAAGCGCCTGACATGACGGCATGTTCGCAGTTTGAATTTGACGAGCTCTACGAGAAATCATCACACACAGGCAGAGCGACATGTAAGGTGACACATTGGAGGGAGCAGCGAGCACCGAGGGAAGTGACTGCTAATAGTATCGCCTCCACTTCACACCGGCCTGACAGAAAGCAATGCTTGCTGGCGTCACAGCCCAGGCAGCAATCGAGGCAACGGGTGCAAATCCACATTCAGTTAGGCTTGAAGATATATAAAGCAGCTGCTTGTCGGACCAGGCTTCTCTTGAGGTAGTTACTTTTCAGACCCACCTTTTCCCCCAAAACCCGCTTTATATTTGTTAGTACAGCAGGACTAAGACCAGCACAGATTCTTCCACTGACGTTGAAATCCGAAATATGAGAGGCTCCGCGAATATATACGTTCTCTGCTGCTTGCTGGCCGTTGCGAGCGTTGCAACGGTGTCCGGCAGCAGTCCCGTTGCTCGTCGCCCGACTAAGGTTAGCCCCTCTACATGCACTACATGCGACGCTTTCATGCGGTACAGTCATTCGCCATCACCCCCGCGTGAGCTTCTGGCACGGTTCTCGCTAACCCCTCCCTTTCGCTCCTCCTATCAAAGCGTGCTTGCGTGCATTGTCCGTGTGCGTATACCCCGCATACCCCAGTACCGTACCCCACCGTTCCCGATACCACTGTTCATCCCCCTTCCATCGCCTCGTCCCTCCTCGTCGTCGCCAGGACATGCCGCCGTGCGCGACGTGCGACAACGGCACACTCTGCGTGCCGCTCTTCTCCTTCTGCTTCTCATCCGCGGGCCCCTCCTGCAAAGACGGCTCCGACTTCGGCGCGCCGTGCGCCGACTACCAGGTACCACCTGCCGACTACCAGGTACCACCTGCCGACTACCAGGCACCACCTGCGGCCACCAGCCTGGTGGCCCTCTCCCATTCGCCCGACACAACACTCTTTCTCTCACGAGCCTGAACTAGACACTGCTGGGAGCTACGCAGCTGTATCCTCACCGCCGCACAAGCAGTACGCCCCTCGCGTCCGTCGAGACAATGTCGATGTCTAAACACACACGTCGCAGCGCCCCTCCCGCCCTCCCTCCCCCGGTTCCTCTCTGCCCTGCGCACATGCCCGCAGTGCCCCGCGGGGTCGTCCAAGTGCGCGGACGAGCAGCAGTGCGTGCTGGACTCGGCGCGCTGCGACGGCACCAAGGACTGCCGCGACGGCTCGGACGAGGACCCCAAGGCCTGCGCTGCCTTCGACTGCTCCTCTATAGGCATGGTACGCAATGCTTCGTTATGGGGATGGTAGGCGGGTACTCTATGGCCATGGCAGCCACTGGTGCGCCAGCTTGTCGATTCAATGTCCATTCTGGGCCATCATGACCGTCCCTCGCACTCCATTCACATCCGACCTTCCTTCGCCACTCGTTCCCTCCATTCCCCACGGTTGCACTGCCGCATCACCTGCGCCTCCGCTCACCGCGTTCTCCCCGCGCCCTCTCCCCCGTCTCCTGCGCGGCAGGAGCGGTGTCCGCTGGGGGCGGCGCAGTGCGTGGCGGGGTACCTGCTGTGCGACGGCAAGCCGTCGTGCCCCAACGCCACGGACGAGCACCCCGCCTTCTGCTCCGAGTACCAGTGCAGCACGGACGGCCGGGTAAGTGCTTCGCCCTCCACCCTCCCCATCCTTCCTTGTTGTCGCCCTCATCAAGCCTTGTCAACCCTTGCCTCCACGCGCATCCCTCTCTACGCCCCTGACTCTGCAAATCGCCTATCGTCTCCCCTGCTCCCCGTCTGCCCTGCCCACAACAGCAACAGTGCCCATCCGGCACGGGATGCATGTTCCTTGGACAGGCGTGCGACGGAGTGAGCGACTGCAGCGACGGCAGCGACGAGGATGAAGCTTTCTGCAAATCCTTCAACTGCAGCGACGCTGGCAAGGTGAGTCAACGTGAAATAACTGCATTCATGCTGGCAAAGTGTTTCAACGCGAGTCTACTGCATTCATGCTGGGTAATTAGTTCTGTGCGAGACAAGGCAAGTCAACTTTCGTAGCCCTCTCACGTCGCCCTCTCACGTCGCCCTTTCACCCGCTGCGTCCCCGGCGTGCGGCCACCAGAGCACGTGTCCGAGCGGGGCGGGGTGCATCTTCCCCGACGCCATGTGCAACGGCCGCGCCGACTGCACTGACGGCAGCGACGAGGCGGCTGCCTCCTGCAACGACTCCTTCGACTGCTCCGCCACCGGCCGGGTGAGCCGTCGCACGCCTCACAGCCAAGGCCCTGCTCCAGCTCCTCCTGCTCATGCACCCGCCCATGCCCGGCTAACCCTGCACACTTCACCTCCCCAATCCACGTGTGACCCGCTCAGGTGGCGTGCCCGCTGAAGGGCGGGTGCGTGTGGGAGTACCAGCTGTGCGACGGCATGCCCGACTGCCGCGACGGCAGCGACGAGCTCCCGCAGTTCTGCTCCAAGCTCAACTGCTCCAACTCCTTCCGGGTACGCTGCTCCCCTCGCTGCTGCCCTCTTCGCTGCTCTGCCCGCCGCTCTGCCAGTTGCTCCGATCGCTGCTCCCCTTGCCATTCTGCTCGAATTCAATGCCCTGCTGCAAGCACTCTGTGATGGCTTGATTGTTGCTGCATTTTGACTTGCGACTCACCCGTAACCCCCATTTTCTCTCCCCAATTGCAGACGCAGTGCCCAGGAGGGCAGCAGTGCACGTACGAGGGGCTGCTGTGCGACGGGAGGAAGGACTGCAGTGACGGCAGCGATGAGGGTGTGCTCTTCTGTAGCAGCTACAACTGCACGGACACTGACAGGGTCAGTTGCGGATCCTTGGTTTCCAATGAATGATGACGACATGTGGGGTGCTGCCATGTGATCAAGCAAGTGAAACATGTGAAGCATCTGCTGCCCAATCACACATCTCGCTCCCCATCCATCACCCTTTCCTCCCGTCCCCTCCATTGGGTGCAGGTGGTGTGTCCAACAGTGGACGGCTCAGCGCCCGCGTGTGTTTCAGCATCACTGCTGTGTGACGGCACGCCGCACTGCCCGGGCGGCAGCGACGAGGACCGGGCCTTCTGTGCGGACCACGAGTGCGCGCCCGGCCTCATCAAGTGCCCTGGATCGCTGCTCTGCGTGCCCGGCACGCTCTGCAACGGCTTCCCCGACTGCCGCATTCCCTCCGCCCTTGACACCGCTCCTGACCCTGACCCTGTCGCTGCCTCTGATGCCGTCCCTCCGTTGAAACCGGCTGTTATGCCTCGCACCACCTCTCCCACGGCTACTCTTGGTATCGATGGTACCACGGCTGGTGTGGGCGGAGTGATGCAAGGCGGAGCTGCTGGTAACGTGGTCATGATGCTGGAGGGCGTGGCTGCTGACGAGGATCCAGTCGTGTGTGCGGCATACAAGTGCCCGGAGGGGTGGAGGAAGTGTGCGGACGGGCTGCAGTGCGTGTCAGAGGACGCGTGGTGCAGCGGTGTGAAGGAGTGTCACGATGGCAGCGATGAGGACGAGGAGGAGTGCACGGGGTACGACTGCGCTGCCACAGGGCGCGTGCCGTGCCCGGGAGGCAAGTACTGCCTGTGGAACTACTGTGATGTGTGCAACGACGAGCGCCAGCCGCTGTGCCCTGATGCATCGGACCAGGCGGAGTCGGCGTGCCATCTGAAGCAGAAGTGCCCCGTCCGCTACTACAAGGACGCCCCCCTGCCCCGCCCCCTGCCGCTGCCCCTGCAGGACGGCGCCGTGCACGTGGAGCCGGACAGCGATGGGGCAGATGGTGGGGGAGACGGATCAGTGGAGAGTGGGGGGGAGGAGGGCGGGAGCCATCCGAAGAAGTATGCCAAGGTGAAGACCGGGACAGGGAAGAGCGCTGCTGATGGCACTGCTGCTGCTAGTGAGAGTGCCAAGGGGGTTGAGGGTGGGAGAAGGCCGGGGCACCATGCGGCTGGAGTGGGGCACCATAAGAGCAAGGGGCAGCACAACAAGACGAAGTCCAGTGCCGAGGCTGGCAGCAGCAGTGAGGAGGCGAAGGCTGGCAGTGGCAAGAAGGGTGCGATTGGTAAGGAAGAGGCGACGGGAAAAGATACGGGCAGGAGTAGCAGCAGTGGCAAGGCAGGGAAAGAGAGTGGTGGGAGCAGCAGTCCAAAGAAGCCTGGGAAGGGCGCGGCTTCCACATCGGGAGCTTCAGGGGGGAGTAAGGGGAATGACACCAAGACGGGCAAGGGGGGAGTAGAGAGCAATGGCACGACGGGAGGGAAGGGAGGTAAGGGAGGTAAAAACGCGGGAGGCAGTAGCAGCAACGGCACCACAAGCAGTGGCAAGAGCAGCAGCAAAGGCATCAAGAGCAATGGCGATGGCAGCAAGAGCAGCAGTGGCGAGAGCAAGAAGGGTAAGTCAAGCAAAGGGGATCAATTGAAGACCGACAGCAGCAAGGCAAAGGGAAGCAGTGGTACTGCCACTGTTGGCACGAGTGTGGCAAAGGCGAAAGGGAAGGCGGAGGGAGGCAAGGGGTATTCAGCTGAGAAGGTGGCTTCGAGTGGAAGCATGCAGGCAGAGGGCAAGGGGAGCAATGGTAGCAAGGGAAGCCAGAAGAGCAAGGGGAGCAAGGAGAACAAGGGGAGCACAGGCAGTGCGGCCATAGGCAAGGAGGGTGACGGCACTGGTGTGACCAAGGGAAAGGGCTGAAGGCCACGAGGCTCTGTGGGTAGAAGTAGAGCAATAGTAGGCCTAGGAAAGCTCGGATCTCTACAAGAAGGGGGGCAGTGTCTTGCTGCGCCTATTATCCCCTTCTGTAGTTTAATATCAGAATCTTGTGCAATGTTGATGTGCTTTAAATGGCAGCTTATTATAACTATTGCATGCGTACATACGGTAACACTTTGAAAAAACACAACTAACCAGGGGATAAATATCTCAACCCGTGGGCCCTGTTGAGCATCTCCAAGCTCAGCTACCCTCAGAAGAAGCGACATACACCAGGTGCAGCAACAGTTACTTACACTAACACTCCCATCCTCGGCGTACTGACAAGCAACGCCCACCCCAACCTCAAGTGCACTAACACACTCCATTACAAAAAGCAGGAAACTGTACATTATGGCATGCCCAACAAGATTTTTACAGCTTTCACACATTGTAAGGAGGCACGTTGGCCTTGCCTGCCGGCGGCACAGCGGCGTCTGCAATGGCCTTGAGCATGCCGCGCTTGTAGATGCGGATGGTGTAATACCAGAACATGGCGATGTAGATAAAGGCCGCGAAATACGCCATTGCACATGCCCCTCGGACCTTGCTCACATTCGCATTAGCGTCGTCCACGATTTGCTTAAGAAGAGTTCCGTAACTCAGTTGTGAATTGGCTGCAAGGCTCAAGCTATATGCGGCGAACAGGCTCTTGATATCATTATCGCTGGGATTGCCACTCATCGCACTGTCAAAGAAGGGAGATGAGCAAGCAGAAATGGAAATAAGAAACACAGAAATCCAATATGTCATGAAATCATGCAGAATATTCATACGTTGCCAACTTGTGCAGAGCAGAGATGCTACATGGACAGACTCAATCGTAGCACGTACCTGTTCAAGGCGCTGGCGTTCCACCACATGTTGCACGCAGCTGCTGCGGACGTGGCGGCGGCGAACAGAAGGAGTGACATAATCTGTCAACCAGGGGAGAAGTGATACAACCTCGTTAACAAACGAGAAAGAAACACTGGAAAACGTTCAAAAGAGAGCAAGAATGACGCACAGGTGCTTTTTTGTATCTCATCGCAAAGCTAGCAGGAGCGTGCGACGAGTATGCGCGGGACGCTGTAGATTACGATGGCTAAAAGCAGTGTGATATCCCCGTTTTGAAAGCTCGCGTAGCACTCAAGCGTTCTTTTAACTGATGTCTCAGCAGGTCTCTAAAAAGTGCACCTCTCGCGCGGCTCTCGAGGGTGGAGGGACTCACGTAGGTCTCGAAGAACTGCATGAGGTCCATCACGGCGTCGTACGCCTCGGAGCCCGCGACGCACATGCGCACGGCGTTGTAGATGAAGAACATGAGCGCCAAGATGAACCCCAGAATGGCGACGCCCACCAGAAACGCGCCCGCCGCGTACTCCGTCACCGCCTCCTTGGTGGCGAAGCACAGACTGCGGATGTAACAAGGATACAGGAACCAAGAAGACGTGAGAGAACCAAAGAAGATAATTCCAATAATCGTATGTGTTGTGAGAGAATGCATTTGTTTTCTCGGTGTGCAGTCAGCGCGAGCTTCTGAGTGAGATCGAGCTCAGGTGTGCTGACTTGGAGCGCAAGTGATTTGACGATGGGCGACACGTACGAAGCTGCGAGCGCACCTGAAAGAGACGAGGCAGAAGAGGAAGGTGCCGATGCGGAGGCCGAAAGGGAGCCACGTGTACAGCGGGGACCGCTTGTTATTCTCGCAGCAACATCCCGGATGGCTCGGCGCTGGGGCTGGCACTGGGGCGGCGTACTGGGGTGGTGGCGCGGCAAACTGGGGTGGTGGCGCGGCGTTAAAACTCATGCCCTGCATGTTCGGAGCCTGCTGCGCAGCCATTTCGAACTTGCGGCTATTCTTAGAAACTACGGACGGACACTGATTTCGGCGTGCTTTCAGTGCGATGTAACAACAACGTTTTTGGAAGAATAATAATAAAAGACAGTGCTTAAGTGGCGCGTTTCGCGAGAACAGCGATTCGGGAATAAAGTTGAGCTCTTGCGAAGTTCTTCAAATGCAATGCTCGGAACCTTGGCGCAGAGGCGGTAGAAAATGGGGACAAGAAAGGGAGAGATTGTAGGTGCAAGGAAGGGAATGAGGTTTGGAGAAATGTGAGTGCAACGCGCGCTCCGCCAGGGGAGGTAGCTGTTCGATGGCGAACGCTGACATGGCGTGCCAGCGCAGTGTGAGAACAGGCGAGGTCCAGCTGGTCGGGAGTCTTGCACGCTTCTTGGTGGAGCTGGTCAAAGTCTACGGCGTCTCTCAATATCAGTCTGGTTGAGCTGCCATCTCGCCAGTTGGGCAGTAGGTCAGTTTAAGCTTGCCTTTGTCGATCTCATCCTTCACGAAGAAACAACGAAGGGCGATGCGTTTCGTGCGGTTGACGAAGCCGGGCTTGTTCACGATTTTTTAACTGAAATATAGAATATGAAGCCCGTCCCAGCTTGAAGGGGTCTTGCGGAAGTGGGTTTGCAAAGCACTGTTTCAAACATTTCGTGTGTGCAGATTGAACCCACCCGATTGATTCCCACCAAAAACGAAAAATTTGGGTCTTTGATTGTCGCATGGTTTTTTTAATGACCCGTTCATCGTAACCTTCGCCTCCTGCAGGAGCTCCATGAGGTAAAGTCTTTCGCGAACAGCTGCGCTGGCAGAGACGAATTCAGCTTTGGCTGACAAAAGGGCAATGCGCTCCTGCTTTTGTGAGTTCTCGGAGATGAGTAAAGCAGGTTCAAGTTGAAACACAAAACCAGTACGAGAGCATCTGTTGTCAATGTCCCCCGCATGATCTGCGTCAACATAGCCTTATAGTTGGAGAGTAGCAGTGAGATTGACCCTGTAGCCCAACGTTGTGTAGAGACGAAATATTGCAGCGCCCGACGTTGATCTAGCATATTCTCCCTTTCAGGTCGACGCACATGTTGATACTGTAACAACGGAATGATGAAATTAGCAAGGGTTGGGATACAAGTACAAACCCTAAAAGTGTTATCCCCCCATATTATGTGCCCCACTACAGCCCAACAACTATGTTTGTCGTTTGACACACCCCCATAGGCAAAGTGGGGAACAGAAAGAACAACAAGAGGTCACAAGACCAGTCAAGAGAAGCAACAAGCAAAGCTCAGGGTGCATCTCAAGAACACCACACAGTGCGAACACAAGTAAGCGGCCACAAGGCCAGTTCACATGTAGTGTTATAATAGCACAAGCAGATAAGTGATCACAACCAAGCAAGAGTAAACAGACAAGTATATATATCACAGTACAAGGCAAATTCAAGAGACAAGCAAGTGAGGCAGAGTGGGCACAAGCCCAAGAGCAATGCAGAAGTGCTGATGATCACCAGACCCAAGGGCATTGGCGAAGATATCAGCAATATTGGTCTGTGAGACCACATAAGCAAGGCGAAGCTGATCACGCTACTGGAGCTCCCGTGCGAGAAAGTAACGAAGAGCAATGTGCTTTATTTTGTGTTCCAATCTCTTCTCCCGACACAAAGCAATCATGGCCTTGTAATCGATGTACTGAACTGGAGGCGAACAAAGACGTTCGCCCTAGTCAGTTAGCAAGTAGGTCAGCAAGCGTAACTCCTGTGCAGCCATAGCCCCACCGTAGTTCTCTGCCTCACAGCTAGAACTAAGAACAGAAGACGAGCAGGTGGGCCTCCAAGAGACTAAACCGGCGCCAAGACTGAAAGTGTAACCCTGTGACCACGTTGGGTCTCCTAGTCGTCGACCCAAGAAGCGTCTGAGTGCCGAGTGAGCTCAACTCGACCTTGTTCTCCAAGCACAAGCCCCATGCCTGACGCACTGCACAATTAACGCAGTACCCTTTGCCCAACACGGTAGTGCTCAGGGCGGTGTCTCCCGAGCGAAACAAAGCGTGTGACGATGCTGACAGGGTATGCGAGGCCAGGTCAAGTGCACGTCTTCAGGTACATGAGGGAGCCCACAAGATCTGGATACGGACCAAAGGAGTGGACTGTGGCGAGGAGAACTGAAAGCAAAAGCACTGAAGGACCTGTTGCACCATGTGTCCCGGTTGATCTGCAAGCCAAGATAGCTGTGCAGCTCACCCATGTCAGTGCAGGTGTGTCACTTCTGCAGCTCCGCCTTCACAAGGGCCAGTGCCTCAGTGTCAGCAGTAGCAAAGACCAAGTCGTTGATGTACATGAGGATGGAGAATGGCGGTAGAGAAGGGTCAGTGCGCAGAAACAACGACGGGTCAGCTGTCGAAGGAGCAAACCCAAGAGCTGCAAGTGTCATCCTCACTGGTTCATGCCACTCGCGGGGCGCCTGGAGGAGACCGTAGACTGGCCGCCGGAGGCTCCACTGGGTACCCTCAGGAAACGACCTGGTGAAGCCAGGTTGGCGGCGCAGCCAGATCTCCTCGTGAAGGCTGCCCTACAAGAAAGCGGTGGAGAAATCGAGGGAGTGCAGCTCGTAGTCACGCTGTGCTTCAACGTGCATTAACACCCGAAGAGTGGTCATCTTCGGGGTGGGGGAGAAGGTACAAAAAATGATGACCCCCTGTTGTTGACTAAAGCCTCGTGCAACGTAACGCGCCTTGAAGACAGGCGGAGAACCCGGCGGCCGCTTCACCCTTAAAATCCACATGCCGTTGACTATGGTCGCTCAAGGAGGAAGAACTGCGTCGACGTAAGTGCCTATGGACTTCCAGGATGCCATCTCTGCGTCCAAGGCTATCTGGCACTAAGAGGAGTACTAACCCATGATTGCCTCAGCGTAAGAGCGCGGGGTCGGGATGTCTATCGCATCCGATAATCCCATAGGGGCAAGCAGCATGGCAGCAAGATGAGGTAGAGTAGCCGCAAAGCACTCGAGCTCAAACTGCCTGTCCTCAAAGACGTCACTGCCAAGGGCAAGCTCACCCCCAACGGACGGAGGACACCTATGTCGGTAGATCTGCACTGTGGATGCCCGATTGATCCTAGGGG